TGGCGCTCCCGCTGAGGGTTCGGACGTAATAACTTCGTATAGCATACATTAGTGGATATATGGCATCACCCACCAGGCACAGACACTCTGGCCACGGAGTCCACTGCCTCACAGTATGAAGCTGTATTGTGGCTTTTGCCTGCGCTGGTGGAGGTCGGTCAGCCCCTGAGCGAGGTGGGTAAGTGAGCATAAGTAAACAGCAGAGAGTCCTCCAAGTGAACAGATACTGCCACTGAATTCCAGAAAAGGTCATGTGCAGACACTGGAAAACCTGACAGTTCAAGGTATTTGCCAAAGATCTTGAGACCTCAGCCAAGCCCAAGAGATGGGGCAGCAATACTTACTCGGTGGTCAGAGGTGTACACCAGTAGTCAGATGAGCCCAGACAGAAATTTCCAGAAGCATATTTAAAAACAAAAATATGCAAGCCACAGGCCTAGACTAGTCATCCCAGGAAGGTTCGAGATCTTCATTTCCAACCACAAAGAGACCATTTCCCGAATATTCCATAATTCCCATAGACATATGGTTCTACACAGATGTTTGTCCAAACTACTTTCCCTCTAGAGCATCTTTCATCTAGATTTACTTTGTTGATAATTCTTCCTAATTCTTGGGGAGTGAGACCATTTTTTTTTTTTTTCCATAGACATATGGTTCTACACAGATGTTTGTCCAAACTACTTTCCCTCTAGAGCATCTTTCATCTAGATTTACTTTGTTGATAATTCTTCCTAATTCTTGGGGAGTGAGCCCATTTTTTTTTTGGCCTTCCATGGAGATAAGCACTAATAAAAATGTACTTGAGAAGAAAATGACACCAAATCTCACCTTGAGGGATCAACAAACTTGTAAATAGATCCATGTGGCATGTGGGCACTTGGGTAAGAGGTGGCCAGGAAATACAGCTCCCCTAGGGAAAGAGGAAGAGCACATGAGGAGGGCTAGACAGAGCTGCACATGCAGAAAACAGTCAAAATGAGGGGACAGCCCAGAATGCAGTGAGGCCCTGGATGGAGCCTCGGGCCCTAGCCAACAGCAGGCCTTCACTACATTGCGAGCTTCTTGAGGGGGAAGTCTGCCTTTGAAACCCCAAAGACTCGCTCAGAGTACGGCCCAGCAGAGGTGATTATATGCTCGTGTTTATTGAACCAAACAGGCTTCTCCCTTATCTCTTTGCTTTTGGAAACTTCTCCTCAATGAATCTCCCTTTCCTTAAGGATTCCCTGTGAAAACAGGCAATCTACAGGCTGAGGACCACCTGTTAGCCGCTTTATTTTGCCCCTTCTGTAGTCCTTTCATTACCTCACTCTCGTTTTCCTCCTTCAGTCAGTGCTTGGGCTCCTGACTTCCCTGGGACACCCCACACACACACTGCAGCCTCTGCTCCTGGTCCTCTCCACGCCCCACTAGAACCACCTCTACACATTCTCTCCTGCATCTATTTTAGAAAGAGACTGGCTTCTCCCATTTTTTCCTATTTGAACTCCAGAAAACATTGCTCCTTTCTCATAGTAACTACCTCATTCCAGCTTGCTTAGTAGTTATCTGTGAGGGACACTACAGTGCAGGGTTATGAACCCCTACCTCAGAGTTATGTAAGTCTGGGTTGAGTTCTAGTAACACCAGTTATTAGCTGTGTTATCTTGGGAACCTCTTAACCTGCATAACCTTCGAGCTATTTATTCATTTGTAAAATGGGGATCACAGTGCCTCAAATGATCCTTAGGTACTCAATTAGAAAGTGTTCAGTAATTAGGGCCAGCCCGGTGGCACACTGCTACAGTGCACCGCTTGGGAGCGCGGCGGCGCTCCCGCCCGCCGAGGGTTTGGATCCCACGTACAGACCGGCCGCTCACTGGCTGAGTGAGGTGCGGGTGCACCGCCGAGGGTTGCGATCCTGTTGCCGGTCCCGGTCCGGTATGGGCGCGACACTGAGGGTTGCGATCCGTTGCCGGTCACGAAAAAAAAAAGACAAAAAGGAAAAAAAAAAAAAAGAAAGTGTTCAGTAATTAGTAGTCACTATCGTTTTCTTATTCTCGACTTCTGAAGGGCCAGTGCTGAGTATTAAGCAGCTTTGTGAACCTGGCACAGTGTTTGTGCAATTGCACTGAAATAAATTCACTTGCTATTGTGTGCCTTACGCAACTCTTTCTCAATTTTCTGGGAAAAAAAAGTCTATTAAGTTGCAGATTTGAAAAGCCTAGAGCTTTATACAGCTATGTGTTATTTAAACAACCACTTTCTTCCTCTAATTTGTGGAGAACAGTGACCAATGTTTGTCTTGTGTGGATTGTGAGGCTCATGTTGAATCTTTGTAGAGCCCCATACACAGGGTTTGGTGCACTGACAGAGCCCCATACACAGGGTAACAGCTGCCTGATAGATCAGGGTTTGGTGCACTGATGAACTATATTAAAATCTTCCCTTAGGAAGGGGTCTGAGGAGTTAAGACACATCCTACCCTAGAGTCAGTTTGCCCTGTCTGATTGGAAACCCGAGGCACCATCCAAAGTGATTCTAATATTAGGTAAATGAGGTCAAGGCAGGGGCCCCTCCACATGCAAAGGCCTTCTGGCTCTAACAGGGGAACTGAAACCCCCGCCCTGCTGCATATCCCCTCTACGTGGCTATAGTTTGTGTAAATTATGTCTTCAGTGTGCCACAGACTTCGTGCCATATTTTTAGGGGAAAACAATGCTAGAGGTGGATTTCATCTGTAGTTTCCAACTGATTTTTTAAATATATTTTTTAGCGGGGGGGAAAAACCCAAATACTATAACATGCCATGTAAAACAAAGTGCATGCCATGTGGATTTACTGCACACATTATTACTTTGACTAGCCCTCTTGGGAATGTGCTTTAGTGACTGACATTCAGAAATCCCATGGATCAAAAGTCAGCAACGGGCAACTCCGCACCAGCCATTCACCAGCTGTCAGCACTAAGCACTCAGTAAGCAATCTGTCGCAATAGTTGAGGCAGAGTTTGAGTGCAAATAAAGAGTGAGTTACCTAAAGCCAGTGACTAATAACATAACAAAATAATGCTCAAATCTAAAAATGCATCTAAGTGGAGAAGAATATGCCAAGAACAGATAATATGAATCAGTTGATGCAAAAACACAAAAGCAAGCAATGCAAAAAGAAAATTTGCCTCAGGAACAGCCTGACTGGCTTTTGGGCTGCCCCTGGGCAAAGTCTGGCCTGGGAGCACCTTGGCAAGTTCATTCCATTAAATTCAGCCAAGGATGCTAGTTTTGTTTGCCAGATGTACTGACTGGTTTTCAAAAACTGCCTGTTTTCTCCTGCAAAACACCTACAGGCACAACAAACCAAACCACCAAAGTCAGGGTTCCTATGGTCTTCTGCAGAGGAGCAAGCCACAGAAGATGGCCACCCCAGGTCCCTGGCAGATCTGCCTCCAGGCCACCTTCCAGGAGCCCCCACATCTCGGGGAGGGAGTCCAGCAGGGGAGAGGCCCCACCAGGGCCTGTAATATCCACATCATCCACTTTCCACTAAGGATCATCCTGCCAGCCAGTGGTTTTTCTCCTTTTCTTATATGTTTGGACTTCCACTTTGGAACTCACATAGACTTTTTTCTATTAAAAATGCTTGGATTTTCCAAAATACCCTCTGCTCCTATAAAATGCTCATTTCAAACTATCTAATCATCAACTAGCTAAGAGGAAAGGGTCCAGAAGCAGACTGAACCTCCTTAAATCCTACTCAAGTAAGGGTCCTGTACAGCCACCCCACAGCTCAGAGTGGAAAGAAACCAAGGACTTAGGTTTACATTTATAGAGAATCCTCGGTCTGGAAGGAACCCTGAGAAATCATTTTCTTCTCTTCTTTGCCTCTAACCATGGCTAGATCCAGTGCCAAATACTTGAGATCACTGTACTCACGTAAAAGAAAATTTTTTTTAAGATTTCATCTAAAATTTGAAAATTTTATTTTTCAAAATGAAACATAACTAATGTAAAGCTAAAATTAAAAATTAGTTTTGTGATTGCATAATTTTTGGAAACGTACTGCAGCTGAGTGCCTCCCTCTCACACGCATACGTGTGCACGTGCCTTGCTGGGCTGGTACCTTAACACATGCCCAGTCTGTTGAGTAACCTCTTACCTGGCTGTCTGCCCTTTCCTCAGATTTCTCAGGTAAGAAAATTCTCCCTTGCTCACAAACTCTTGACAGGGTCAAGAGAGAGCCCCACCCAGCCAGAGAGCTGATTACTAGAGGTTCCCTGTCCCAGAGAACACCAGCAGGATGTCCATGTTCCTATAACTGCAGTTTAGAATAAATGTTGGGGGTGGTGGGGAGCACATGAACCTTCTTTATAGTCAAAGGGTTAAAAGGACCAAAGCATAGACCATGATTTGCCCTTCACGATGGTCGTGTGGCTCAAACAAGGAGGGGTAGGTTGGCATAGTCAGTCTGTTTCTTCATTGGTGAAATGAGCATAATAATTACATCACGAGGGTGTTATGACTACTAAATGGGACAAGATATGTGAAGTGCTTAGAACAGTGTCTAGTACATTATAAAAGATGACAAAATGATAGTGATAATAGTAGAAGGGGCAATTACTGTTTAAACCAATGTTCAGTCAATGCCTATGATGAAGTTCCAGAAAGCAGACATCAAATAACTGTACAAATTTGTACCTGCTTCGTCTTCAGCAAAGGAGATGATGAATTTGCTGTAAGTACTGATTAGCCCCGGAAAGGCACAGAGCTTGGTGCTGCCTAGGCAAACATCCTGTTTCTTCCATTTCTTGGTTTTTCTATCTTCCTGCAAAGCCATAAGTCGACTAGATGAAAAATAAAATCTTATATTTTAGGAATCCATATTTCCACTCTGCAGGATATTTTCCCACCAAGAATCAGGGAATGCTTGACTACTAGG